TTATAAAAAAAAGTGACACTAAGGCAAAGCATGCATGGCCATGCTATGTTGGTGTGGTTATTTATCTCATTAGCAAATTTTGGCCACGTAAATATAAGCATGTGTTTTCTATCAAATTGTTGGCTTGAGGATAGTTATGATTATAAGCAAGACTGGTGTCTTTGGCAAATTTGGATGCAAGATCATATGTAAATATGATTTCTCGTGAAGTTAGTGATTGCTCTCTAGTTGATCAGTATTTTAGGTGATGTAAATTATGTCAACAACTTAGTTCATAAGAAGAACTATTTCTTATCAACTATGTTGTGGGGGGCATTGTTTACACCTAAAATATTATTTTTAATAATTACTATATTTTTGCGGCGTCGTGAGTGCAACCACGCCGCGAGATAACAATATCGCGATACGTAGCGGTGCCGCAAGTTTAACGGCGTTGCGAGTTCGATAACGGCATCGTGAGATTGACGATGCCGCAGTCACGAGTTCGACAATGCAGCAAACTAAATACTGGGAGTTCATCGGTGTTGCAAGGGTGAGATCTCAAAGACACCGGTGGGTGTCAACGCCGTTGTTGCGGTTGCAATGAGGTTGTGATTTTGATAGCACCGCAACATTGTTTAGTCAATACAGTGGCGATTAGGTCAAGTCTAGCTGCATTCTGAATCTAAGCTCATCGAGGCAGCATGACATCGTGAGATTCTACAATGTCACGGATTTAAACGGTGCCGCGAAGCCAACACCGCCGTGGATCTCAACGGTGTCATAAGTTCAATAACGCCATGGATTAAACGGCTTCGCGAGCTGAACGATGTTGGGAGTCCAATGGTGGTGTAGGGTGAAACAACAATGTTGTTTAATCGATGGCGGTGTCGTGATTCGAACCATGGTGGTACAAAGTTGATGTGTGCACGTGACTTTTACGCAAGGAAGATTGGAGAACGGACGCGAGGCAGTTGAAGACTATGACTCCATGGAGAAGAATGAAGACACGTGGGAGTTTACGACGAAGCAGTTGAGGAAGCAGTTCCGCGGAGCGTGGAAACTACGCAATTGATTTCAAATAAAATCACCGGAGTAAGGAGAGAGAGAGGACAACCAAATCAACGCAAAACAACTCTGTCAAAACTTTACCTTTTCTCTGTAACTCCTTCGCGGAGCTCTCCTTCCAGGAAGGATCTCCATAGTTGTAGTCATAGTCGTAGTCGCGGAGCTCTCCACAGGAATCTCCATAGGAGTAGCGGTAACGTAGATTCCTAAAAACTCAAACACCCTCGTTCGAACGTAGTTTGGAGAGGTGCGAACCGTAGTAACGGTCGTTCTTGGTTAGAAGTCAGAGGTGCAACGATCAAATCAACACCGCCCGATGGTGGATATTTGACGGTCACGTCGATTTCAACAATCAACGGTGTATCCGATCAAACGGTACCGCAAGAGTATCCATCGCGAAGCATCAAATCAACATCGCAGGAAACGAATTCGGCACCGGCAGTGGCATTTGGTTTTCCCGAGGAAACAACTACAAGTACAAATGTACATATAAGTTCTACTAGGGATGGCAATTTTGCCCATACCCATGGGTATTTTATTATCCAACTCAATTGGGTTGGGTATGAAATCCTAATGGATGGGTATGGGTAGAGTTTGATGGGTTTGTACTCATACCCATTTACTCGAGTTGGGTTGGGTTTTTAACAAATGAATTTGGATTGTACCCGTCCCCAAATGCAAATTACAGTTTGGTACCTTAACTTTATAGATATGCATATTTAGTATCCAAATTTATTTTTTTGCATATAAGTCCTCAAAATATAGATGGAAATTACATTTAGTACCTAAAATTTTATGATCTTACATTTTGGTACCTAAACTTTTCAAGGTTTACAAATATGTCCATTTTTTCAATGTGTAGTTAAAACACTCTCAAATAAATGGATATCCATATTCAACCCGTACTCATTTAGATTATGAAAGTAATATTCATACATTACTCAAACCCATCTATAAACCACCAAACCGATATACATTTCACTCATACTCAACCCATTATCAATGGATCTACTTGGATTTAGTTATAATTACCATGCATGGGTAATTATCATCCCTAAGTTCTACCATATAGTTCATAGAAATCCAATTCTAAAAAAAATATAGAGATCCAAGTTCTCTACATTATCAGGCAATGACGACAACCATGATTTACTATATAGAGAGACTAGAGTCGATGCATGCATCAAAGACAAAGAACTCGTTGAAAAATGTATATCATCATTATAATTCACATGCACCTTAGAATTTTTTGTTGAGCTTTGAGCTTGACAGTTCTTATAAGTTCCTATCTAGCTAGCCGTCTCCTCTCGATCGATCAGCCATACCTAACCATCAAAATGTGGTTGAGGATGACAGGAGCATTGAGTCAAAAGTTAACGAATTTATAAAGGGGGCATATATGAAAGTAGGTCCTTGGCATGAGACAGAACCGCCCATCATTAAATTAAATATCGTGAATCATAAAATCTATCAGAAGCTGTACTTGAAAAGTGTGTAATAGAGTGTTTTATACTAAAATCATAGTTTAATTGTTATTCAATCATTTCACATCGTTAAAAACCCATAACCGATTTAAATTCCGATAAGATGTTTTTGGAATGAAACTGTCGATACGATACAGTTTTACAAACACGGACAATTATATTCCTTCCAACTTGATATATATGAATGCTGAAGGGCCAATGTTATTGATGGAGAGCTGGAAAAAGACCCATAGTTTGAGAGAGCTGCATGGGGTCATTTTTAATGTATGTGTATGGGGGAGTCCATGTGAGCTACCAGGTGACGAAGACTCTAGCTAGATATATATATCCCCATGTTTATTTCCGCAGCTTCTCCATACTCTTTTAAGATAAGTATCAAGTACATTCTCCATGGTCCATATTTTGCCAGCTTTCATGTTGAATGCCAATTAACTTTTCATGAAAAGATTAACATATTTTGCCAGCAACGTAGGGAGTTGAAGAAGTACAATCATCTAGACGCGTTCTCAAAAAATTTCATGATCTCTATTTGAAGTATGAATTACCATCGTGGATGATTTTTAGGAATTTATCACTGCATCATCGTTGATTATATTGGGTTGGCGATCGATATTAAGTTCAATTGTAATCATCAAATTGGAGATTGAGTTCGATAACGACATGTAAGTACGTATGGTTGTCCTCATTACATGTCGTCATGTCATGTTGATTGTGTCGATGATGACGCCTCAATATCAAACTTTAGTTAAGTTGGGTGCATATAAAGCTAGCCACTGTCCCATAATGTTTCAATGAGGTGTAAACATGGATTTGAAGATATATTGAAACAACAAGGTGAAAGGATACAAGTTGGAGGATGAAGTTGAGCAGAAACAAATGTGAGATTGACCACACATATAAAATAACACGTTGTAGTCAGATACTATCTGACAATCTCTCTTTCAAAGGACCCGGGTGGTGGCCTGATCAGTACTTGATCATGTGAGTACCCAAATAAGACGACAGAACAAAGGCCCTCAAACGGCGACTTCCAAAACCAGATCGATGAGATTAACATATGGGACCATTTACTTAATAAAATAATCATTTACTTAATAAAATAATGATTAAGAGATCATTATTAATTTATGTGCGTTCACTTCAGGCCCTCCACATGGTCACACCTGCATAACATATACGTGGACGATATAACAGCACAAAAATTTGGACTGTCATCCAACCAAACTATACTCCGCGTGTACCTCGTTTGTTCGCAAGTATTAATGTCGAGTTCATATAAGGAAAGTCTTAGAACTTGAATGCATAACCTTTTGTCTAAAACCCTATGATATTATGTATGAAATCGTTTTAAAATGGCCTACTAATAGTAAGAGAAAATAGGTAACACTACAAAAGCATTATAAAATTATATATGTAGTCATACCTTTTAATCACCTCTAATGACTCAATTTAATTCCCAACAAAAAAGTTGAAGGGCCGGACTGGTAATTTTACATCTTCTGTCTTTTTATACAGTATGACAAGAGTTCAGAGAAGAGATAATGAACTTTCTACAATACTCTATTTTTTAATCGGATCATATACCATTTGTTTTAATTCAAGATTTAGTAAAATTTACATAGAAAGAACGCATTAATTATAACCTACATAATTATAGTCAATTTGTCATGTTTTAAGCAAATAAAAAATTGATTCTTCAAAACACGTGCTGGTTGTAGTATTATCTCTGTCATATCTATCATATCACCATGATATGACAGTGGTATGATAATCCATCTCTTTTATTTTAACTCAAATTAAAAAAATATAGAAAGAACAAATTAATTAAAATCTTTACAATGGTATCCATTTTGTTATGTTTTGTCAAACATAACAACTCATATCAACATTATACTAGTGTCACTAGTATAATTCGTTATTCTCTTGCTCCAAGAGCCCTTTTACTATGCTATAAAGTATTGGTGTTTTAATGTACAACTTGAAGTTGTACCATAACATTAAATGTATAAGTTCAAGTTGTACCATAAAGGAATTTGTACCCTTATGTTATGGTACAATTTTACAAGTTGAAGTTGTATCATCACATAAAGGTACAAGCTCAAGTTGTACCATAAAGAATATGTACAAAATAGTGTAGGTACTTGCTCCAAGAGCCCTTTTACTATGCTATAAAGTATTGGTGTTTTAATGTACAACTTGAAGTTGTACCATAACATTAAATGTATAAGTTCAAGTTGTACCATAAAGGAATTTGTACCCTTATGTTATGGTACAATTTTACAAGTTGAAGTTGTACCATCACATAAAGGTACAAGCTCAAGTTGTACCATAAAGAATATGTACAAAACAGTGTAGGTATAATCTAAAACTGTACCATAACATTGAATGTACAATTTCAAGTTATACCATAAAGGTAAAAACCTATAGCACCAATACTATATAGTATTGTAAAATTCCTCTTGCTCCAAACGTGGAGGTCATTCATAATTCACAACACTTGGATATATAAACTATTTATTTATTTCATCATGAATAAATCAGTAAATGGGGAGAACAACAATCAAGCATACCTCGCGAGTAAATTGCAACTAGCGGATGCTCTGAGCGATCGTCGGTTCTAGAGTACGGTAGATCCAACCGAGCACCATAAGATTTGCTTTTTCCCAAGTCAGAAGCAAATGATATCGTCTTCTAGATGCAGAGCATCATTGTTGACGGAGACGATCTTATTATTGTTCAAAATCGTCATTCGCATCTACCTCGCCTACGATTGGTGATGACTTGATATATACACATGTTTTTGTCCACCATTCTTGTACCGTTTGAGTCTTATTTCTCGTGTTTTAGGCTGATTTCACGCTAGGTTGTTCTTGTTTGTGATATTTCATATCCTAGTACGTGAATGAAGGTTTGGGAACGAGTTTGGGGTCCATTGGACGAAGATTGAACGTTTGGCGAGAAGTTGAGGAAGCCACACGGGCACGCCTAAAATTCCACACGGCCATGTGACTTGGCCGTGTGGCACCACTTTGCACGGGCAAATCACACTGGCCGTGTCTGGGACCCCTTGTGGTCGTGTGGAAAGTCCAGGGAGCTCACATGGCCAGACGTAATCCACAAGACCGTGTGCCTCTGGCCGTGCAGCATGCCTGAAGTCCACTAACCGACAAGCGGTGTTTTGACTTCCACACGGGCATACTGGAAAGCCACACGGCCGTGTGGCCAGGAAATTCTGGGTTTTAACCCAATTTCGAGCCAAAGGAAAGGGGGAGCTGGGTTTTGGTTCCCAAACACCCAAGGGACGAACCCTAGAGAGAGTGAGCGACTTGGGAACATTCTTGGAGCTGTTTTGGAGGATTTCTTCGCCATTGGAGCTCGGGAATCAAGCTTGAAGATGGAGATTGAAGATCTAGATCAGATTTCTACAGTCTCTCTCTTCTTTATGGAGTAACTTCCCTTCACTTAGGTTTTGAGGAACCCTAGTTCCATGTGTTAGGATCTTTCTTGTATGAAGTTTTGAATGCTATATTGTTTGATTATAATCGATTGAGGCATGATTTATTGAGTCAATTGAATCCTGATCAAATTCTCTTGATTTCTACTTTAACCTATGATAGATAGAATCTGATTAGGTTAAGAGAGCTTCCTTGATTGATAGTGGTGAATTGGTTGTGCAAGAGTCAATCAATTCACTGCTTTGTACTGGAATTCATTCCAGTAGTGGAGATCTGTGTGAATCGCCTTAGCAGTCTATCCCGGTGAAGGCTAGTCGCCTGCCAGGTATTCTCTCTAAGAGGGCTGGGTCAGCTTAAGAGATTCCAAGCTAATTTAGGATCTTCCGCAGTTTAATCAACAGTAGATCAACCAAAGGTAATTGCAACTTGGACCTAATTGAGGAACTAGGGGGAATCATACCTAAGTGAGTTCCCAACTTGTAATTAGTAGAGTAGTTTAGTAAATCAATCCTTAATCTAGTTTGCTAGATAATGAACAGAAGTTGAGTAAAAGTAACTCTAGAGATCCGTGGATTCGATATTTATTACTTGGGCCACTATACTGTAGTCCCTTTCATTGGTTACACTTGGCCATTGTTAGGTGTTGTGTTTTAGCGTGTCAAGTTTTTGGCGCCGTTGCCGGGGAACTTTATAGATTATTTGGAAAGGCAAAAGTTTGTTAATTTAGCTTTCTTTCTGTTGTTTTTCTTTTCTACCATTGCTTTTCACTCGGGTGTTTTTGTTTTTGTTGTTGCAGATCTGAATCATGAATCCTAATGGCTTCTCCAACCAGTGGGGGTGTCCACCACCACCCGAGTGGTATTACCCCGAGATGTCCTGGAGCAATCAAGGAGGAGAAGACTATGGATTCGGGTTTCATTACCACCCCCCTTACTACGGAGAACAATCAGACCCCTGGGCATATCAAGAACAACCTCCTTATCAAGAAGAATTCCTCCCACAACCAGAAGGGGCATCAGATCTTGATATATCTACAGCCCTCACGGGTCATCCGGTAGAGCCATGCTACACTCCACAGCCAGATCCAAGCTATCACTTGAGGCTTCTCGTGGAGCATATTGCTCGAGTACCTGAGAGATCCTTTCCCGAGATGGATCCTCATATCCAGGCCATTGCCCAAACTGACTTCTCCTTTCCCCGTGAAGCAGAGGATACCCTTCAGAGCATAAAGAAGCACATAGAGGTCATTGAGAAGGCGTGTTCATAGTTTTCTCAAGACAACCTTTATGCTGCCATACAAGTAAAGGAGGAGGAAGAAGAAGGCAATCATGAGGATGTTGAGGAGTATACACAAGTTGTCACGGAAAGCTCCAATGATAATCATGATCAAGTGTATCCTCTGGTGGTAGATCACAACTTTCCCCATTTCCGCTCTGGCATGTTGGGCTCGAGCGAGGAGATGCAAGCTGAACTTATTGAGAACCTTGCATGGCGACTTGCTCACCAATCCGTTATGGAAGAAGAAGAGAGATAAAGGGTGAGGAAAGAATTTGTGGAGGATGAGGATGAAAACAAAGAAGAGGTAGTTCTTGATCTTTTCCAAGGAGAGAGACCACATTTTGAAGAAGAAAGGGGGGGGGGGGGGGGGCTGAAGAAGCGAGTGGTGTCCAGGCTGAGGATGAAGTTGAGGTGGAAGAGGCTTGCACCAGCCCTATAATACAAGTAATATCCCCACCAAACTTCGAGGAACTCCTTAGCAAGGACCCATTTGCAGTGTCTCTTTGCCAGACCAAGGCCACATCGACATCGGTCCCTCTTGGTGGATGCGATGGTGGTCAGTCGATACGGTTATATTTGGTTTGGGGCAATGAGACAAGAGAAGAAACGAGGAAGAGGTCTCGAGGGTGGAGACTTCAGCTGCATCAAGTGCACGAGCCTTCATCACCTGCCACACCACCTCATAGATGGTTTGGGGCAACTCCACCAAGGTTTGTTTTCCTTTCGTTTACTTTCGGTTTGTCCACTTAGAACTATGGTTTTTATCACCCAGTGTGTTTTGCTGATGCTCGCCCCGCTGACTGGTCCACTTCCAGTCTCCCGGCAGTATTTCCATCCGGTAACATCGTTCCCCTTATCTTTCCCTCTGCTCCATTGAGGGCAATCTCGTGCTTAAGTGTGGGGGGTGCTAGCTTTGCATTGGTTGGAATCTATATATGTGTGCTTGGAGCCTAGTCTGCTGTCCAAATCTCGAGATTTGAGGGCTCCAAGTACTGAGGTTTGGATGATCATATTAGCACTGTGGATTTGATTGGTGAATCGAATGGCTTTCGAATTATTGCATGACAGCTTGATTGTAACTAGGACAACCTATGATGATGACTGAGACGTGCAGTAGAATTGTGTAGGGGTTCAATTTTTTTCAACTATTTGCTTACCAACTGTGACTTGGATTGATCACTTGCTCTTGACAGTCGTTTATGCATCTAGTTCAGGGAATCAGAATGAGAGATAGAGCATTTAGGTAGCCATGTTAGGATTTGAGCCTGCTCGTTTCTTTCTTGTGCAATAGATCCCTCTTCCATGATGTGTAGCATTCATGTTGTTACTAGCTAAGATGATGGAGGCATAGGATTAGCCCACGATCAAATTGACTGTCCTGGTTTGTCATACCCCCTAGTCAGCCCCTTTGAGCCGTGTACTTTTCTTTCTTTTGGTCTACAATGGAAAATCACCCTTTTGCATCTCTTAGAAGGTTCCACATAGTGGTTTTTGCATGTTCTCTGCTGTTTCTGCTAAATTTAATGTGAGGGTTGGAGGTAATGCTTAAAAATTGGGCATGTGTTTGAAAAATGTGCAGAGGTGGTGGCTCTCTCAATAAATGAAAAAAAATGAGAACAAAAATAAAAATAAATGAATGAAAGCAAAAGAGAACCACTACCCAAAATTCTTAATCATGCTCATTAAGTAGTGTTTCTTAGCAGTCTGGCTTGAAAATACTAACATTTATGTGACCTCCTTCGCTCTTGTGCTCTAAAGAATCTGAATAATGCAGAATGGCAGAAAGAAAGTTACTGGTTTGATTGGTTGTGAAGGTGTTGGGTTTGGAACTGTGGAACCTTGTGCTATGAATACTTCCACCACCTAAAAGGCTTTCTCATGTCCAAGACCCTAGCCAGTCACTTGAACCTGTGTCTAAGACCTCCAGTTTAGTTAGTGGTGACATCCCTTGTGTGAACTCTAACATTTAGAGGCTGCCATCATGGTGAAAAGACGTTAGGATTTGAGAGAATAAGCATGCGCATTTTTTGCATCAAAGTGTCCTGACCCCACTGGTCGAGAGTGAGCGATTCATTTCCTTATTCTTTATGCTCTTTACCCCGGTGAGGACCTAGATGGCTCTGTCTTGATTCTGATGTCTTGAGTTTGATGCATGCGATGACTGTCTTGGTCAAGTGGTTGAGTCAAGTCTATGTTGGTTGGTGAACAGAAAGGATGTAACACCGTACCCTATACGTTTTTGCCTAATCATATTGTACATACAATTGCAGCGGAATTAATCTCGGGTGTTACATTAATTATCAAAATTTACCCAAATAAAATTTCGGCATGAATTACTCGCGTAATGGGCTAACAGTTCTTGCAACTTATCCTGCAAAATAATTCATCACAAACATATATACTCACAACCATATGCATTGGCTTTTCTTATCCATATTCACACTTTTCATACTCCACAACTGCATACCATACTTATACATACCATAATCGTCACAACTTACACAGTTACACAACATATATACATATCGTCAACTTTCCACACCTGTGGATATCTCACGCTACATCAGGAGCTAGTATGCACATGAAAAACGTTCTCAAAACATTTTTACAAAAAGGTGTGGATCACTGGCCAAAATCCCGGGTAGTCGTCCAAGCACAGAATAGTTGAAGACCATACCTCATCATGGCTTCAACTCTAGCTCCTCTCCCACCTAACACTTATCTACTGCTGCTGCTGATGACCTGCTTACACATGGCATAAGTAGAGAAGAAGAATAAAAGAGGGTCAGCTCATGGCTGAGTGAGACAATCATTGCATCGTGAGTTCATAACAAAGCATACCCCTACCATACATCTAGCAATCAAGCCAAAACACTAGGATCGGACCTCAGCCATCCTCATATCCCAATAGGAAAAAGACTCAACCACCTTGACTTATGCATATGCATCTTATCATGTTTTAATCATAGGCGCCCGGCTACTCCCATGCTAATTACTCGGAAATTTTTTACATCCAACCATGGTTGGAGCTTGTAGCTTCAACCAGCCACTTGGCGGACTACTATTGGTTATTCCACCTTTTCCCCCTCTATTTTTAATGCTTATATATTATGGCTTTAAAATTAATAAAAACTGGAATTAAAAAGCAAAATATAATTTGACAGACAGCACTAATGACGGAGAACAGAATCTTGACGGATGGAAACATAATTAATTAGGTTATTCTAGGTATATTTAGTTTCTCCAGTCGCAAACGAAGAAGCTGAAGCCGCACGTCTGAGAAAATCTTATCCCCGACGGCTGCAGGAAAACAAGGTACGTAGTATTAGCATCCAGCCATGGCGTTGGCAGGTTTGATTCATATAACTAAATTATAAGTAGATAGGTAGTTCTGTAAGCAACCTTTTATTGCTTGGGAATTCGTACCTCTTATATGTTTATTTGATGCTTGAACTATCAAAATCTGCGATAGGAGCATCTTACATACATACATGGCAATTGACAAAGACTTAATTAAGCTAAAAGGGGGTAATGGTGTTCTTGTTTGTTCGCATCCTTTAGTAGGAAAGGAATAATTATTCCCATTCAAGTTTTTTATGAAGCAGCTTTTTGTTTGTTCTTTTCAATGGGACTCATCATGATCGGCACTTCTTATTTTTTATATAGTACTTTCAATGTCAATTTTTTTTACATCAAGCCTTGCTAAACTTTTTAGCGGGTGTTCTGCAGATATGAGTTCACATGCAGGAGATGAAGAACCAAATCATCCTATAATGAGTGGAAGTAATGGAGTACCACAGATTGGGATGAAGTTTGATTCTGATGATATGGCTTATGCGTTTTATAGTGCATACGCACATGGTCTTGGATTCAGTGTAAGAAAGCAATTCATCAAGCGAACTTCAAACGGGAAAAGTAAAAAGAAGAACATATACATGTTCTAAAGAAGGGGGAAAATCTGCGAATAAAAAGGGAAAGGAGGTTGCTTACGAACGACCAATTACCAGAATAGGTTGTTTAGCAAAGATGACCTACAAACTACAAAATGATGGTTTGCTTGAGGTTATCTCTTTTGAAGCAAACCACAACCATGATTTGGCTCCCACTCCAATGAAGCACATGTTGCGATCTAATAGAAAGATGAGTGTTGCTCAAAAAGCTATTGCAGATGATGCTGAAAAGGTCGGGTTACCAATCAAGTCGGTTATTAATTTACTCGCAGTACAGAATGGGGGTCGCGAGAACAATGGATTTTTGGACACAGACTACTACAATTATATTGATTCTCAGAGAAGGGCTAAGCTGATTAAGGGAGACGGTCAAGCAATTATGGATTATTTTCAAAAATCACAATCAGATGATCCGTCATTTTTTTATTCAGTGCAGCTTGATGATGATGATGATCTTATTATGAATATGTTTTGGGCAGATAGCAGGTCGATAGTTCATTACAAGCACTTTGGAGATGTTGTATATTTTGATACAACATACAGGATTAACAAGTATGGTCGCCCTTTTGCACCTTTTGTTGGAGTCAATCATCTGAAGGAGACAATTATTTTTGGGGCAGCATTACTCTATGATGAAACAATCACATCATTCAATTGGTTATTTGAAACCTTTTTGAAAGCAATGGAAGGATTGCAACCAAAGACTATATTGACAGATCAATCAACTGCTATGGCCAAAGCAATTAAAGAGGTATTTACTGAAACCCATCATCGTTTATTTGTTTAGCATATTTACCAAAATGCTGCTAAACACTTAAGCCATGTATTCCATGCATCCAACCAGTTTGCTAATGATTTTGGTTCATGTGTATATGATTATGAAGATGAGGATGAATGGAATGAAGCTTGGGATTCTATGTTTAAAAAGCATAATTTGGAAAACAATGAATGGTTGCATGGAATTTTCATAGAAAGAGAAAAGTGGGCCATGGTTTATGGGAGATATATGTTTACTGCTGATATGAAGAGTACACAACGTAGTGAATCAATGAACAATGTGTTGAAGAAGTACTTGAAGCGAAAACACAACATGGTGTACTTTTTTGAGCATTATGGTCGATTGGTAGTAGATAGACTTTATAAATAGCTTTTGTCAGAGTTCAAAATGAGGGACACCCGCCCAAAATTGAGAGCAGATGTGGAGATGCTAAGACAGGCATTAGAGATATATACTCCTAAAGTGTTTCAAATGTTCCAAGAAGAATACCTCAAAGTTTTGGATTGTACCATTGATAAGACTAGCAAAACAGAAGTTGAAGTGGTGTATAAAGTGAGATATGCTGGTAGAGGTACAGAGCACCAAGTCCGATTTGAGTTTTCTTCTCAAGTTGTTGAGTGCAGTTGCAGAAAGTTTGACTTTGTGGGGATTCTATGTGCTCATGCTTTGAAAGTTCTTGACAAGAAAAATATAAAGCACATTCCCAAGCAGCATATATTGAAGAGATGGACCAAGGATGCAAAAGATGGAAAAATAAGTAGTTCGACTCAAGTTCATGGAGGATCTAAGGAGCTCATTGGAAAACGTTACTTGAACCTTGATTACAATTTTTGAGAGATATCCACCCTAGCGGCTGAACATGGCACTATGTATGAGCACACAGTTGGAGTACTTTCGAATTTGCTAAAAGATTTGCAGCAGATGAAAAAAAGTACACATGGTGAGACTTCTAATGAGACCTTAATGTCAAAAGATGAACAGGATTATCCAATTGTAGATGGAGTTAAGACCAAAGCTACGGTAGGACAACCAACAAAAGGTAGATTGAAAGGTGCATTAGAGCGAAGAAAAAGTTGTAAAAGTCAAACAAAGCCAAAGGTTTCTTCTTCTTTTGACATTTTGAAACAAGTTGTAATGTGAGCTTATTATATTGATTGTAATCACTATGTTTCAAATGACATTATATGTACAGGGTAAAAAAATGAAAGCGGATTCTTCTCAGCAAGTTGAAAACAATCCTGAAGTTCATGGTCAAAACATCCAGGTAATTGTTTTAGCTTATTCTAGTTAATGTACAAGAAAAGTTGGAGCATGTTCGTTTTCTTAAGTGATTCTATTATTATATATAGGGTAAGAAGATGAAAGCTGGTGATTCTAGGCCAATTGAAAGTTATCCTGAAGTTCAAATTCAAAATGATCAGGTTTGCTGTTTTAAATTGTTTTATTTGTTCCCCTCAATATAGTTGTATATATTTCTATTTATTGATAGACATTTCAAATTTTGTAGGCGGTGATTGATCAATATGAATCCCAAAGTTCGATTACTAGGCCAACAGGATATATTCATGAAGAGCACTTTGACTCGACAATATCTTTCAATAATATTTCATACACTCAATTGTTACAGGTATAGAAATTAAGAATCATTTTTATTTTTATGTGTGTTCTACAATTTTATTTATTAATATTTTTGATTGATGACATTTTTTTGCAGGATGCAATAGCAGATTCTCATTATGTTCATCCAAAAGTGTGAAGATACTTATTTTCAAACGCAGTGGAAAATTCTCTATGTTTTGTTAACTACTTTGTTTTACTAAAGCTTGCTACTTATTGGAATACCTGGAATGAGTTTCAAACCTTTTATCTAAGAATTCTATTGCAATGGATTATTGTGAAGTATTTCATTTTCACTTTGTTTGTCATCAAGTATTCACTTAGTTAATTGATTGATTAACTGGTTTTATTAAAAATGACAAAATACTATCATAAAATAGTAATATACTAGTATCACTTCTTCCCCGTGCATGGCAAATTAAGGACTAGGAGCAATTAGCTCATTTGAAGGTCCACTGATATCACTTTTACTACCACCGAAGCTTTTGATTCAACAATCAAATACACAAACATATATTTTATCAGCTGTGCGGCTATACTAGAGGTTTCAAGATTATGTTTTCAGACGTGCGGCTTCAGCTTCTTCATTTGCGACTGGAGAAACTTAATAGACCTAGAATAACCTAATTAATTATGTTTTCGTCCGTCAAGATTCTGTTCTCCGTCATTAGTGCCGTCTGTCAAATTATATTTTGCCTTTTAATTCCAGTTTTTATTAATATTAAAGCCATAATATATAAGCATTAAAAATAGAGGGGGGAAAGGTGGAATAACCAATAGTAGTCCGCCAAGTGGCTGGTTGAAGCTACAAGCTCCAACCATGGTTGGATGTAAAATTTTCCTAATTACTCTGCCGGGAATACGGACCAAACATCTCGTGGATGTGGTCATATCGGACCCACCACTGCCGATGTAGTCATATCAGACCTGACACCACTCTGGGTGTGGTCATATCTCATGATGAATCAACGGTCAACACCACATTAGGGGTGTGACATAACATATCATAACGGAGTAATAGCATGGGGAGCCCTAATTACTATGTAATTGACCATGAGACCAAAGAATTCTTACTTGGTATCCTTATACATGATCCATATCTCATCTTGCTTAATCATAATTCATTACTTAGACATGTTCTTGGCCTGGCCACAATTGGCTAAACATCATGGTTGTCAAACCGGTTTCATGCCGGCATGTTCAACCGGTACTGGTCAGCAAACCGGCTGGAAAGGGGCCGGTATTTAACTGTGGTCAAATCCGGAAATTCCGGCCGGTTAGACCAGAAACCGAAATTTAATGTTACACATCCAAAATAAACATCCTCCATAGGATTTGAACCAAGTACCTCATGTTCATTTTAGTTTAACTTATACACCAGTAGGCTACAAGCAATTTTGTTGTCTATATTAACCTTATATGTTATATATCTAATAATAAATTTTACGCAAATCATTATAAAACATTAATAAAATTTATTTAATAATTTTTTTTAAGAATCTAATTTTTTAGTATTAGTTACCAATTCTTAGCTATAAATTATTTTGTGTGAAATAATTCTTCTAATTGCTTGTTTATGACTAATTTATTTGGAATTGAGGATTTCCATTTTCCTCATGTATTTTATTAAAACCGGCACAACCGGCATGAATACTGGTTGTACCACGGTCAGACCATTCCACTTACAAAACCGGCACACCGGCATAAACCGGTTTGACAACCTTGCTCAACATAGGTAAATCAGGAGTCGTATAATTGCACTTCCTCGGGATAAACCCTCGTGCAAGTCATCCTCCTTAAACGTCATAATATCACCAGGGAATATATATTTTCCCACATGTGCATCCAAATACAACAATCATGAAAAATCATATCCAATCACCTTTTCAGACCATCATAAGGATATATCAACAATCAAGCCCACAATTTGCAACATATACGAAATCAACAGCATAAACAAGGTCCATCTCGATTAGGGCAAGTCAATAATATCATACAGTAGTCCATGGTTCATCATATAGCACAAAAGTTCATACACCCTTAATCATGCCATTCTAGTTCACCTAGGTCAATTCTAAGCATCAATATAATTATCGTGATACGACAAACCCGGTATGTCGTGCTAATCCCTCACCAGTTCTGGTCGTTCAAACACCGGTTTAACCTTCCCATACTAAAACGTCAATTTCACGAACGAACCCCGAAGTAAAATCCGAGACCGTCCTAATATCCCCTGCAGTATCCCCGTCAATATTAGTTCTAGGCTCCGGGTCAAATTCTTGATAAAAACACATCAAACCCTGGCCGGAGCTAAATTCAGCGATTTGGACCCCGACCTAAATAGTTGCCTAAATTCAGGGATTAGAACTAGAGGATTGATTACCTAGCTGTAGGAAGCTCGTATATGAAATTTGGGCTCAATCCGGCTTCCGGATACTCCGAAACCCTAATTTGGCTTATCGGGAATTCAAGAAATTCCTGAACCAAAAACTCGTTTTAAAGCTCTAAATCGATAAATCACAATGTATGGATGAATTAGACATTACATACGGGATTTTTGGATCACTAGAGCTCAAGAATTGAGCTTGGAGAATTTTTCTGTTCCCTCCCCATGCGCGCCCTCTGCTTCTCGGTTTCTCTCGGCCGGAAAAGAAAGAAGAAGAATTGGAATGTGATGGGGATGGGGATGGAAATGGAAATGGACGGGTAATATATATTTGCCGACCGCTTATTGATATATAAAATATATAATTAATACGTATACTTATTCGATCGATCGATAATCCGATTTTTGTCAAATACTATCAAAACACTCGATTTTAAATCGTGAAATTTCTAGCAACTGAAATATGGGTTTTGCCGGAACGGGATGTTACAAAGGATTCCTCTTCCTTTACCCGATTTTGCTGCACTCGAATGTCCTCTTTGGTGGTTGTCTAGGTTGTTGAGTTGTCCATATCGCAATGATGAAAAGCCACTATGATTCACGTGTTATGTGCCTATATGATTTGTCCCCAATGTTGGTATGATTGAAATAAGTTGAGCTTACCTTGTATCTGACTTGGTTTGCTTGGGGACAAGCAAACGGTTAAGTGTGGGGGAATTTGATGACTTGATATATCCACATGTTTTTGTCCACCATTCTTGTACCGTTTGTGTCTAATTTCTCGTGTTTTAGGCCGATTTCACGCTAGGTTGTTCTTGTTTGTGATATTTCAGATCCTAGTATGTGAATGGAGGTTTGGGAACGAGTTCGGGGTCGATTGGACGAAGATTGGACGTTTGGCGAGAAGCTGAGGAAGCCACACGGGCACGCCTAAAATTCCACACGGCCGTGCGAGTTGGCCGTGTGGCACCACTTTGCACGGGTAAATCACACTGGCCGTGTATGGGACCCCTTGTGGCCGTGTGGAAAGTCCATGGATCTCACACGGCCAGACTAGAAATCCACACGGCCGTGTGCCTCTGGCCGTGCAGCGTGCCTGAAGCCCACTAATCGAAACGCGGTGTTTTGACATCCACACGGGCATACTAGAAAGTCACACGGCCGTGTGGTCGGGAAATTCTGGTTTTTAACCCAATTTCGCGCCAAAGAAAAGGGGGAGTTGGGTTTTGGTTCCCAAACACCCAAGGGACGAACCCTAGAGAGAGAGAGCGACTTGGGAACATTCTTGGAGCTATTTTGGAGGATTTCTTCGCCATTGGAGCTTGGGAATCAAGCTTGGAGATGGAGATTGAAGATCTAGATCAGATTTCTGCAGTCTCGCTCTTCTTTATGGAGTAACTTCCCTTCACTTAGGTTTTGAGAAACTCTAGTTCCATGTGTTAGGATCTTTCTTGTATGAAGTTTTGGATGCTATATTGTTAGATTATAATCGATTGAGGCATGATTTATTGAGTCAATTGAATCTTGATCAAATCTCTTCATTTCTGCTTTAACCTATGATAGATATAATCTGATTAGGTTAAGAGAGCTTCCTTGATTGATAGTGGTGAATTGGTTGTGCGAGATTCAATCAATTCACTGCTTTGTACTGGAATTCATTCCAGTAGTGGAGATCTGTGTGAATCGCCTTAGCAGTCTATCCCGGTGAAGGCTAGTCGCCTGCCTGGTATTCTGTCTAAGAGGGCTTTGTCAGCTTAAGGGATTCCAAGCTAATTTAGGATCTCCTGCAGTTTAATCAACAGTAGATCAACCAAAGGTAATTGCAACTTGGACCTAATTGAGGATCTAGGGGGAATCATACCTAAGTGAGTTCCGAACTTGTAATTAGTAGAGTAGTTTAGTAAATCAATCCTTAATCTAGTTTGCTAGATAATGAACTGAAGCTAAGTAATAGTAACTCTAGAGACCTGTGGATTCGATATTTATTACTTGGGCCACTATACTGCAGTCCCTTTCATTGGTTACACTTGGCCATTGTTAGGTGTTGTGTTTTAGCGTGTCAATTGGTAATTATTACCGTCATGTAGAAGTGTCGAAACATGAACCAATGCTGGATTCTCATTCTAATTGAGGAAGTACGGGTGATTGGCGTTAAGATTACCGCCAGAGGGATCACAGAGCTACATGTTGAGCCGCCACAATGGATTTGGAGAACTATAATGGAACAAATTGAGAACAATCGAAAGAAATCAGAAAAAATCAAAGAGTTTTCGACTCTAATACCATGTTAGAAATAGATCTAGGAGTACGACAGAAGAAATAAAACTTTATTCTCAATAGAGTGCAAACCAATGAGCTTAGTTGTCTCCACTGACCACTGTGTAGCTTTTATCCTAACTCAATCAAATTACCATTTCACCTATAACAACAAAATACTATGTAGAACATGCTTTAGTTTGCACATGTTGGACATAATATCACTTGTGCTAAACAAATGGCATTAAATGGGGGTCGTCACGAGAATTCAAAACCATAACCTCGTAGACTCTGATACCATATTAGCGAACTAACCACTTGGTTCCAATAACTCGAGTTGTTGGAAAAAGATTTGTTAAACCTTTTCATCTCGTACAATGTAGCTAGATTGCAGCAACATTACATTTTGGTTCCTATATTTTTTTATGGGGTTCCTATACTATATCTAACCACTTGTAACAATCTTACGCCCGCAAAATACTATTTATGTGGTATCAGATGATGCTTATATATATAGCCCTATAAAAAAAACTAGGTGCTTAATTGTCCGTTCTAACCGAAAAAGTTGTAGTTTTGAATGTGATCTCAGCAAGGTATACCCAAGAACTCGTGCCACACTTCTCCACTACCAACAATTTCCCTGTTTTATCAAACTTTCGAGAGTAAAAAAAAGAGCTAGTTAATTAATTAGGTACTTAACGCAAACACTAAGCATACATACTGTGTAATATGCTTTGATTGTGATCATCCTTAACGAGATATGCCATCTCCCATCCCATCCCGCAAAATTTGACCCGTAAAATGATCAGCTCAGCTCATCTTTGCATCAAAATTGCAAAGGGGAACTACAGGGGAAAGTTTTTATTATATATTAAAGCAAGCTATGTACATAGTTGTTTTCTTCTTCTTGTACGATTGGTACTACTCTTTTCCAAACAAGTTGGGCAGCTTCCCATCTCTTCCCCTTCTTTTCCTACGATTTTCGGTTGGGGAGGATTCTAGAACGAGTCACCGCCCTAAATTCGGATCACTACCAATATACTCCCCTGATTTTCCAACTTCCACACGTTAGGGAATTGTATGTGTTCATATTCAGTCTTAGTCTCTTCCGAACATGAGTTGTTCGATGAATTGGTTTTTCTAGATTTGGAGTCTAAACCTCTATAATTGTAAATAATCCATAACTAGATTTGGACTTTAAATCTTTAAGCGGGTTCAGAACTAATCTGGAATTCGATGTTGAGCAGAACACAAACAAGATTGGAGGGATGGAAGGGTAGATTCATGTTGTTTGAGCCTAGAAAGTATTAGACGGTTGTGCAGAACACGAGCAAAGTGACCGTTTTTGACGGGGGAACGTACTCCTGGACCCTACAAAACAGTGGTCCGTGAGCGATCCCCTAAGACATTCTCCGAAGATTAAGTTAGAGAAAGAAGTGAGAATATGAGTAGGTTTAGAGAGAGAGAGAGAAAGTAGTTGAGTTACCATCAATGCTCACGTGGGGTATTTATACCCTGATAGGTGAGGACTTGGGCATTAAATGCTATTTTAGAGTTCTAAGTGTGTACTTTCCCAAAATAGACCGTTTACGGTGGAAAATTATTGCTCAGTCTAGCTTATATCGAGGTAAGCGTATCTCTAGGTCTTTATCCACCTGTCACCATCGGTGCTTTATGTCAGGCGGCCTGGTTCCTATCGTGTCCCGAGACGACCGCCGACCATCAGGAACCGCCTACTTAAACTAGGCCTCTTCGCTAGGTCGATCTCACTTTCCTTACCGGGCCTCAAAGTCTAGTACCGCTCAACCAGGCGGCCCAACAATTACCCCTTAGGCGGGAAAACCTCTAGATTTTGGCGGCTAATGTTTTCATATGTCATGTTGAGCGGCCTTGTCTATTCAACCGCCATTCCATCTCTTGCCCCTAGCCGCTCGAGAGGCAGAGACTTCCTGTCTAAGGGGTGTCTTGTCGTTTTTCAATCATCTCCTCCCGCTATACTATCTCTTGCCTTTTACTCAACCGCATGCAGACATGCAGTGGACCGCATGCGCACACCCTTTGTTTGATGAACCCGCACCCTCCACGTGGCGTAGTTAGGTTTCCGAGCTCTGACATCGGTCAATTCGGTTGCCCGAGTTTTTTAATTTACAGACCTAGGGTTTCTTTTTTGGTCACCCAACCGCCACGTCAATTGCTGCCCCCTCCTCTTATTTAAACACAACCATCGTCTTCTTTCTTCACTTTCGCATCCGCCATTTTCGTCAAGTTTTGCGCCATCTCGCCACCATTGCTCGCTGCTCTCGATTTTCTCTGTCCCTCTATCTACATAGCCATCCCTCTCTTCCATCAAAGCGGGCTGATTATCTTGCTAGCTTGCAACGATCCCAGAAACGGGCGAAGAAGAAGAAAAAGCGGAATTCACAAATGACAATCGACTCTCAAACCAATACCCCCTCTGATAGTCAAAACCGGGACCTTTCCGGTGACATTCCTGCTGCCACTACCTCCGACGAGGTCCGAACTTCCGACAACGGTGCTAGTGTGTCGCACTCATCTTCGAAAACTGGTGGTGCCTCCGGCGGTCCCTCAGTCGGGGTGAAGCTAGCCGCACAAGGTATGATTGATCTATCCTCTCCCTTAGCCATATCTGACATAGAGTGGGATTTAGAAAATGTTAATCTAGTGAGCGGTTACGAGAATACTGGTGAACTTAGGGTGATTTTAGACCATCTTGATTTTAGCATTTTAGGGTTAAATGGAAATGCTTTTGAGGACACGGGCGTCTCTTTAGCTTTGCGGTGTGCCACCTCCGCTGTTGGCGATAATCTGTGTGACTTCCGGTTTTCTCAGTTAGAAAGTGAGTTCGATCGGGGCCCTCATGTGGTTACTCTGTCCTCAGATAGCACCAGCAGAGTGCGCAGTGGATCTGAAGACTCTGGCAATGGCGCTGCAAATTCTCCCTCGCTGACCATCTCTGGGGGCTCGTCTGTGGCGCCCTTTCAAGCGGTTGCGGACGATATGTACCGTGTGCGTCTGCACGAAGATATGTGGTAGGACGAGGAGATTCTTGAGTCGATATACCAATAGGGACCGCCTAACAATGTCGCTTATAGTCCCTCCCAGGTTCTGCATTACTAAGGAACCATGGACTTCCGCCTGAGTGGGAGTATGCGACTCTCTCTCCTATCGGGCGCTCTAGCTCCTGCCCCGGCTGGTGGATTGCGGTTCATATTGAACATATTTGGATGGGACTTCGATTCTCGCTGGATCTAATTCTGACTAACACTCTGCTATTCCTTAACTGTATAATAGGCTGCCTCTCTCCTAGAATAATATTTCATTCCATTGCCTTCCGAGCGGCATGCGAGAAGCTGAATAAGACGCCTTCCTTCGATGTGTTTTGCCTCCCTTATGCTATGCGCGGGTCGAACAACTTTTGTCTTGTTACAGACGTGAGGCCCATGTAGGCTATGTCTATGGGGCGCCAAAGCTGGATTCACCCTAGTTCACGGAATATTTCTTTGCCCACCCGGCAGGAAAGTGGTATTCCAGTGAGGTGGAACCGCCGACGGGCTTTGCGTTCGGCACCAAGACGGATTGAAATTCCGATCTTGACTTGCTTCGTGTTCGACACAAAGGTCTTCTTGGTTGGATAATGTCAGTCGTCCAATTTCGTCTTCCTCCGAATGGGCACCATAATGGCTGGAAATAGTTCGGTGCTTTCACGGTTAGTTAGTTTCCCTTTCAACTAACTTATTTTAAGTGTCTCATGCCTTTACTTATGGGTTTCTTTTGTAGGTGTCCGCCGATATGCATCGACCGCAAGACCGCCTAAACCAACCTCTGGTGCGCCCGTTGCTGCGACCGCTACTCCTTCTGGTAGTCATCCGGAGAGGCAGACTACCGTTCTTCCGGCGACTATCCAGACTCAACTTGTGGTAAGCCGCTCGGGAGTGGTGAAGGTGGCAGAGTTCGGTTTGAGTCGAGGCTCTGGGAAGCGGTCTTTGGGACGATTTGGTAGCGAAGGATGGGGAGATTTGAATAGCGAATAACTTATAGCTTATCGCTCGGGGGCGGTTTTAAATTGTGGTTATCCGAGTGACGAATAACTTATAGCTTATCGCTCGGGGGCGGATTTGACTTCTTTGAATTGTGCATTAGTTTGTCACCCAGTGGCGGTTTTAAACTGTGGTTATCCGAATGGAGAATAACTTATAGCTTATTGCTCCAGGGTGGTACGAAATTGCCCAAGTTTTTCCGATTAAACACGTCGCTCTGAGTTAGTTTGTTATTTCGTGTACTTCCAAACAAAGAATACAAACCTGGAAAAGGGGCAGAACGCAGAAGTAGAACTACAAAGACAGTATAAAATTATTTTCTTCCTTTTCCCAGAAGAATTACCCACTATAAGTCTATACCTACTTCCAGAATCATCGAGCTTCGCCATTTACGAAATCCCGTCCTGAAACTTCCGGTATCTCCGCGACGTCGGCTCCATTGACCCCAGAAACCAGCACAACAACAGCTTCCTCAAACTCCCGTCGTTCCTCTTCGGCCTCATTTCTCAATTCAATCACAACCGACTCCAAATCCTCCTGGCACTCTGAATCCAGAGAATCGAAGGACGGCAAGGTCTCCAGAGTGATCTCCGAGCTCCGGATCGAATCGTCCTCAAGTGGCGACATCGACGTCAAAATCACCCTCTTTTTCTTCAGATTCTTCCTGGCTCTCCTTCGCCACCTCCGCAGGCCGATCACCACCGCAGCCGGGAAAACGCTCTTCCGCATCGACGTCCCCATCTGGGTTACCAGCGCGTAGAGCGGAAGGGTCACGTAGCCGCCCAGGAAGTGTACCAGCACCCCAATCAAAACCCTGATCGATATGTTCTCTGTTTCTCTGTGGAAGCACGATCGTGGCCCGAACTTTTTCTGCAAACCGATTTTGAGCGTTTCCCAAAAGGTATCCTCGTTAATTTTCGTACAGCGCAATCGAATTTTGGGTTCGTTGCTCTGGTAAAAGTATTAGTATATTGGGGTTTATGAGATGGGTGTTTAGGGTTTTACCGTTGTCCAGGTGAAGAACGCCAACTGAAACGAGTTCTGCAGAACAGGGGAAGCATATAGCTTAAGTTGATCATTACTAATGGAAGTTACCATGATTGAATAAATCACTCAGTCAGAAACTTTGAGATTAAGGGCTCGTTGGGATCAAATTTACCTGGAAGAGTATGAAATGTATAAGGTGGAGAAGGAATTTGGGCGATCCGAACCAGAAGAAGCGATCGCTAGGTCTAACGAGCACGGTTCCTCTAACGACTTGGGATTCCCCCTGGCTATCTAAGCACAATGACGTGATGATGTCTTGAAGTTTGGTACCAACCACCAGTAACATCTGCAGATAGAATAAAAGATGGTGTGACAAACAACCCTCTTTCAAGACATTACTCTGGCTTCTTCCACAATAGGGGTTTCCATGTTACTTACCACCAGTGGGATGAATGGAAGCCACAGGAAACTGTGGAAGTCTGCAGAATGTCGAACACAGCCAATCAGAAGTTTTCATTTCATGTCTTATACAGTTTGTTTAAGCATTGTGGTTGATGGATCTTATTATTACCGTGTGCATTGAAGAATATGGATAGCACAGAGAAGGTCAGAATCCATAGCCTGCAAAAGGAAATGGGCTTCAATCAGACAATCATCACTTCCTTTAAGAGTTTTGTGATAGAGGGTTCTGATGGGCCACTGGATCGAGGGCAGCGAGAGGCCCATCACCATGCAGGAGAAGACTACCTCTTGCCGACCACAACACGGAAGTCGGATTCAAGAGCTCTTTTGATGAACTTTTGGAAATGGAAATCGATCTCTTGTTCAAAATGGGCCTGGAGTGGGTCATAAACTTGTTCGCGTCAGGGAAAATTCTATGCAAGTGTTCGTAAGCTTTCTTCAAAGGTGATCAGTTCAGTAATAGTCAATAGTACCATGATAAATCCATGTCGGAGTGTGAGATAATCCACTTTGGTAACCGACCCAACAAACTGCCTCAAAACGCATGTCTGCAAACCCAATTGTGGATCATGATTCAAAGTGGATATGAGCTCTTTGGGGCTTATTATGAATTCTCTTGCGAAAAAGATTTACTAACCGGCCAACGAAGAAACGGGTGTTCACTCCAAAAGCTCAGATGCCTCCTCCCAAACGAAGTTTGATGAGCCAGTTGGAAACTTCTTGGTTCTTAACAAAGACAGGAATTAGTTAGAAACATTCTTTGCACTTGATAGACCGTGATTTATCGCATCGTATCATCACTCATGATCAGATTACTCATGAGGTGGGTTGCAAATGAGTCGAGTTAAGTGAAGTTGAGTTTTAATTTAACTTGAACTCGATTCGTTAAGACGTTAACAAATAATCGAGCTCGAGCTAGGTTTGTTTATGATAGGTTGCTTACCCTTTGAAGGAAGGTAGTGGAGAGTTTTGGTCTCTGCCTCCCATGACTCCCACTTGCTCATCTGCCAAAATTACGGTCCATCCATCCATATTAGGAAACAAAATCAACAAGATTAAGGAGACGCCAATTGTGTTCCATTTTTATTGTTGTCGCTTTCCAACGCACCAGACAATGCACATGTCAAAATCACAGCGGTAATCACTAAAAAAGTTGAGTCTTTGATTATTCTGATTACCTTGGCCATGCCTAAGCTGAAGATGAGAATGGACGACGTGGCATGAAATGAAGCCAGCACGAACATCAAGTAATTGAGTTGCTGCACACCTTGCCTCGACAGCAATGACACTTTCCCCTGTTTCCAGTCCACACATTCATTACATTACATGGTTATGAAGTTTTGCAAGAGATTGTCTGATGTGGAGAAAACTATTCTATATGGTTATATGTAAATTGCAGACCTGATTCGCACATATGAGTTCCTCGTCCTCCACCGAGCTAGAACCCGTTGGGAAGCCACAAGGAAGAAAAGTTTGGCTGAGCTTATGGGGAATGCAGATGCTTGCAATCCACCGCTCGCTTACCGCCAGAAACAACGAGCTCAAACCCAGCAGCATCATTTCTGCCACCGCCATCAACCAACCCATATAAACTAACTAACTAACTGCTTCAGCTACTAACTACCTACGCTACGCTCTAAGAATTTGAGTTCTTACCGGATTTGATCTTGCCCAATGACCGAAGCAGTGCCCTGCTCCTTTTCTTGGTGAGGTTCTGTTGCAATTTTAGTCACAAATACAATGGGTTGGTTCATAGCCATAGCCAGAAAGAGAAAGGTGAAAGAGGTAGGAGTAGGAGGAGGGGGTACCTTGGAGATGAGATGGATGAGATGCTCAAAAGCAATGGAAATGAGTATGATGAAGAAGCAAACTGTGGCCACGGCCCAAGTTGGCGTCCCTTCCACTGATCTTTCCCCGCCATCGCCATCGCCCATTCTGTCTTCTCTGCTTTCTCTCCTGAAATGGGAAACAGAGTAAGTGATATGTGATCTCGGGTCGGGTCGGGTCGGGTTGCCTTTCAGCTTCGAGTTAATTCGGTGGCGCTTTCTTCCCTTTTGTATCAGTTCATGATTTCCTTTTATTATGGCAAGTCAAGTATTGAGAAGCAAAAAAGAGAAAAGAGGGTAAAAGAAAGCAATATTGGAGTCAAAACCCACTCGGTCCTGCCAATTTTGTTTCCAGCACAAAAAACGAAATGAGATAATCAGATAGTTTTGCTGTCGTTTTGCAGTGTCCCGCTTCCAATTAAAAATGATTCCAATTTACAGAAAGGGAAAATATGATTCAAACTTATTATCCACTATAGTATGAGTTTTGTGTTATGAGACCATTTCCAATCTAAGGAAAAAAATGGAAAAGTGCTACAAAAATAGGGCTTCAATGGCAAGGCCAAAGTGCAAAATTTTGAAAGTTTTTGGGCCATATTTGACGCACAAGAATACAAGAAGGGCAACGCTTGTTTGTTGGGATCTAAATTCATATTTTTGACCGAATTTAATTTCTGATTAAGCATGCGATGGAGGTCTATTTACATGAGATACATGCGTTGTGTATCTCATGTGCGATGTACTTCTTTTTTATCGTACTATATTACATTTTATGCCTTGTATGAATAACAGGGTTGCTCATATCGTGGCAAAATAATCTTATATCGTAAATTGATTATCGACCAACATTTTTTTTTTTTTTTTGCTTTGTCTTGTCGCATGTCCTGCGAAGACCTTGTATATTTTTTGTATTTAGTTGTTTCCTTCGAGTTACCTGTGGCAAAAAAAAACAAATATTAAATAATTTATTTATTTCTGAAAATAAAGAATAATATTTATGTTTATACATATAAATAATATGAGAAGTGTTAAACAAAATAATGAAATGATTTTATAATAATGCGAAAATGTTAGTTTAGAACACATTCGGTGCATATGTAAAACTGATTCTCTTACTAACTGAGCTCTCTGGAGAATGACATACCAACTAAATTATGGGAATGGATTGGAAGGTTTGCTGCTGTTTTGGTTTTATTTCCATTTTCCACAAACTCATTATTTTAATTACAGATTAGTCCATCCTAATTCCTTCGATCCTTTGTTTTCCCCGCCACCGTGGTTTCAATTTGGGTTATATAGCCGTCGCCTACTAGCCTTGCCTAATATTCCCATAATTTTCCGATCCAACGCACATAAAATAGGGATGGTGGTGTGTTTGGTTTTTTTGTATTTCTTTTATTATATTTCTTTTATGATGTAGATTTTTACTTTTTTATATTTATTTATTCTTGTAATGGTGTCGGATATTTACTTTTGGGAGGAGAATCACTATAATTAGTGTGACAAGGAGCACCCATAATGTCAAATAATAAGAGTTGTGACTTCATTATCGGTTGGAAGATCATATTCACGATCATCCCATTTTTTATTGTCCAAAATTTTTCAACTTTATAAGTTTTACATGGTCTTTAATTATTTTTGTCTTTGTGTATCTAAACGTTTAGGCCAAATATCACAAGCGTCTAATATTTCCTTCAACTTGGTGACAACAACTTCACGTACATAATTCAAATTATCATAGTGATCGAATGATATACATTTTCAACCTAGTTCTCCATTTGATGAATGTATGACTCAGCAAACTTAGGATTTGAATTTTTCAGTTCATTCAATTGTCCAATTGATGGTAAATTTATTCACTAATTAAACATACGTATAACATGTGCTCATCGTTCAAACTGTGGTCGATCTTACTATTCATAGGATTAACTCAAAGATATCATTTCATATCTTAATACACTCTCGAGAATGCGTTGTAATCTTGTGACGTGTAGATGGGCTGGGGTTGGCTGATTTCTCTCTTTCTTCTTCTCCCTCTATGTAAGCTATATATATATATATAGCTATTCTTCTTCCTTGTACGATCAGGAAAACCATTATGAGATTTTATAGCTTCCATAGTGCCTACTCTCCTGTGGACTAGGTTCCAAATCTCGGGATACCACGTAAACTAGTGTGTGTTTCGTTTATTGTTTCGATTGATTTGTATCTTGGTTTGACAACAAAATGTACATGATGCTATTTTTCATCAATACTACTATTGGCGAATGCATTTAATGAGTGACATATTAAACGCTATAATCCAATACTTTCTGAAAAATATAATCCAATACTATTACTATTCATGAATAGTGCTATACTTTGAATAAAACAACAATTAATATAATTTGATGGTGTACAAACTTGCCAAACATTTTTGCGTGTCGGATTCTCTAATTCAATATTTTCATTGACGTGGAAAAGCCTTACCAGAAAAAGAAAGGTAAAATTACAGAAAAACAAGTTGCGAGACTAAGGGCCTGTTTACTTTAATTTCTGTTTCCTGTTTTTGAGAAAACAGATGTTGAAAACAGGTGAAAACAACATTTTGCCGTTTCCGAAAACAGCAGGAAGTTGCCACTTTCTGTTTTCATGGTTGGAAACGAATAGAAAACAGAATGAAAAGTAAACAAGTTTTCTCATTTCGGTTGTGAAATTTATCACATGAAAACAAAAAACAGGAAACGAAAATGGAAGTGAACAGGGTTTCCTTTATGCTATCAGCCCAGCCCACTACAAAAACTCCACGCTCGCCGGGCTTTTGGGGTGAACAACCCTTCTCATCATCTGGGCCCTTGGCGGCGCCGGCAAGTGTTGATGCAGCGGCTTGGAATTGACGTCGGCGGAGCAGAGAATAGCCACTGTGATCACGGCCGAAACGAACATGGGCACCGGCCCAAAGAACCACATCAACAGATTCAGCGCGAAGTACAAAGCTCGGAGTCCCAGGCACCAAAAATCGCCGGCGCGTATCACCGTCGACTCCACGCTCTTCACGGGGACGTCGCTGCTGGGGATGCTAATGAGGTAGTTGGCGTGGACGAAATGCGTCGCCGAGGAAACGAAGCAGGAGAAGGCGAGGAGGAAGCAGAGCATCAGGCTAATGTATTTGATTGATAGCGTGCAGGCTCTTGTGTCGCCGTATATCAGCTCGCTCTGGAAGACGTTGGGGGAGTTCCCACCGAGCCAGGCGCCAATCAGAGAGCTGAGGGTTAGGGAGATTGAAGCCAGGACAGTTGCAGCCGAGGTGTTCGATGAAATTACTGAGAGAGCGATGGCAACATCGTCCTTGTCGCCCTGTGAAATTGAATTGGTGGGTGAATGGGAAATTGGGTTCGGGGAAAGGGGATTCATGAAAGAAGGAATTTTGTTTGATTACCTGCATGATTCTCTCGACCCAAGCTCTCTTGTCGTTGTTCTGGAAGCCGATAGCGGTGCTGTGAGGGTGATTGAGGTATCTGTAGAGAAGGAAGAGGTTGTAGCTGAATAAGATAGCCAACGCAAGAGGGACGAGTAGTAAATCCAGCTCTTCCTTGTGGAAATCCATCTCAGGCCTTCCTTCTTCTGCCTCCCTTCGTCGAGCCAATTGGATTGAGGTGAGTTTTGCTTATATCTTTGATTTTGAGTGTGAGGACTAAACTCCTACCGGAAATTAGGATTAGCTTGACTTGGAATTGTTTAATGTAGGAGTATGTATTTCTTTTCCTTGCTTCAATGGGACTGCAATACACAACTTGAATATTTCTTTTCAATTTCCTATCACATGGATGATCAATTTGGCCGTTTGGATGATCAATAAGCAATGTATTGAAAGCAAGAGCCATAAACCAGTCACTGCTGCTCTGTAATTTTGGGCACAAGCTGTTTCCCCTGCTGCAGTTTCACAGGCAGGGTTACCCTAAATCGCTTTCAGGAGCTAAAAACAGTTCTGAGGGAGCCTGTTGTTTGAAGATGATGATGGATGGAAAAGGGTGGCGTGTTAAGAAACTGAAATGTTGGAACTGCTTTGCTTATGCTTGTTTCCCACGCAACCATTTCTTAGAAATTAGAACGCAACCCATCTAGGGCTTGTTTGACCTATTGCGTTTCACGTGTTCAGCAGACCCATTTTCAAGTGCAAGTTTCAGAAAGCCACTATCCCTACCTCAGCTATCTTGGCCGTGAGCGGTGAGCGGTGAGCTGAATTAATGTCTTGTTGGGGAAGCAAATACTCTTCAAGCATATCCCATTCCCAGAACGTGGAATTTGTATAGCAAGTCAATCAAGCAACTGACTTGGCGCCAAAAAAGGAAATAAAAGTTGGCACAATATATTGAATCACAGCTCTACAGGGACTTTAAGATAGTTGCAACTTGCAAGAATGGTAGTCATTTGTCACCTAAACGTCCTATTACCTGTCAAGGGATTTGCTTCCGAGGAACTCAACTGGCATGCATGGCTTCATCTCCGCAAATATAATCACATATCCTTTCATTCGGTACTTCTCTCAACAATCTATAAATTTAATTTTATTGACAGAACTCAATAACTGAAGCTTCCTCTTGCTCTGCTTTCATTTTCATGATAGTACAAGATGACCACCATGAAAACACAGGAAGCAAACATGGGTATGGGAGCATGGTGACAGCAAAATAAAGAGCTCTAAGTCCAAGGTTCCAAGAGTATCCACCTCTTGTAATCATGAACTCAATCTTCCTCTCCAAGTTCTTGTTCCCCGGGGTACTCATCGACAACAGGTAGTTGGCTTGGCGTGAACCAGAAGCTTGACAGCATGAACAAATCTCGAGAGTCGAGAAGGCAAGGAGCAAGCAAGAGAGCAGCCGACATTCTTGATGAACACAATAAAGGGCCCCGTGTCTCCATAGACTCTGTTTCTCTTGATGAAGTTACTGGCTGAACCGAGAAACGTGCATATTTAGAGAGCTCATTATCAATGGGTCTACTTGGGTTGTGATCATGAATGTTGCTCAGTCTAAGGTGCCCTTATCGCCATTCTGCATGTGAAACAAAAAAAGATTAGCAAAGCTAAGGACTAAGGTAAGTGATTTGAGTTTATAGAAGTATGAGAGGAATTTAGGGAGACCTGTTCGTGTCGATCGGGCAACTGAAACAAGAGATCGAGGGAAGTACGCCCGTGTCAGTATTGAAGTCGATCTCACAAAACCACTTTTGTCGAAGTTTAAAATTGAAGAGATAACCTATTACGTAGAGTATGAAGGCCTTCATCGCATTTGCACGGAATGTGGCAAGTATGGTCACATGAAAATAACGTGTCCGAGCTTATTCAGAGAATCAACTCAAGCCCCGCCAGCTACACAGACTGAGAGTGAAGCGCCCACTGGTGACTATGGGGAATGGATGATGGTCAAGCCTCGAGGAAAGGGAGTGAGAAGGAATCCGCAAGAGACATGCCCTTATTATGAGGGGCAAGGGAAGGCCTCACATGCGCATAAGGACTTGGGGTCACAGTTCTCAGTCCTTGATGAAGAGGAGCACAACGACAAGCATGTTACGGATGGAGCACAACAAAATGAACCAGCCCAAGCAGTTGGTGTCACGGCGACAGAAGGCATCACGCCAGATCCTAGAGAGATGTCTAGTTCATCCCTCCCAGAGCTGGTAGACACGAATGTTACTGTCCTTACGGGGCAACAAACAAAATTGAGGGAGGAGATTAGTAAGAGTAGTACCCCTGATGCTACTGAAGCATTACCTAAGAGGGCAGACACACAGCCAATTCAAACTTTGGTCGTAGGAAATAATGGTAAGCAGGAAGAGTCTCACCGTAAGGTCACCCAGGCTCCCCCATCGGAATTGGACAAAACGAAACAACAGGCCCAGGCAAAAAAGAGTATAGTACAAACAGCATAAAGGAAACAAGTCGGACCCCAATCGAAGGGACCCAGTACGAAACAGGGCGCGGGGAGCCTATCCCCTCCAGTTTATAAATGAAGATTTTGAGTTATAACTGTCGCGGGTTGGGGAATACGCGATCATTTAACTCCCTGAAAGCGCTACTGCGCCGATCATCCCCAGACATGGTTTTCTTGATGGAGACAACGCAGACTGAGGCTGAGAATGATGTTCTACGAGAGACATGTGGTTTCAAGCAAGGCAAAAGTTTCCCGACGGTTATTTCTACCCGTAATCGAGCTGGGGGCCTTAGCCTCTGGTGGAATGATGATGTACACGTTACGGTAATGGATCGGGACTTACACTTTATTGATGCAGCTGTGGAGGATGAAGTGGTAGGAAAGTGGAGGTTCTCAGGCATATACGGTTGGGCTGAAGGGTCTGATAAGTGGAGAACGTGGGATCTCCTAGGGTCTCTTCGCCAACAGTGGGATGGACCTTGGCTATGTGGTGGGGACTTTAACCAAGTCCTATCGTCTAGAGAGAAGAGTGGAGGACGGGGTGTACAAGAGGCGGGAATGACCCATTTTAGCAACTGTTTAAATGAAGTGGGCTGTCAAGACTTAGGATTCCATGGCTATCTTTTCACCTGGGAAAACAGGAGGACAAGAGGCGGTTACATCGAAGAGCGGTTGGATAGATTTATTGCCAACGAAAAGTGGCGAAGTTTATTCCCAAATGGGAGAGTTCAACATGGGGACCGGGCACACTCGGATCATCGTTCGATTGTTTGTGAAACAAGGGGCGAGGAGGACTTGGAAGTTAAGTGGGGATGGTCCTTCCGGTTCTATCCGATGTGGACACAACACAAGGACTGCTCCTCTATAGTGGAGCGGGCATGGAACAGATCCTCATCAGCTGATGTCTTGGATAAATTTGCAAGATGCCGGCACGATCTTGACAACTGGACTCGAGGGGCTTTCCCTGCTTTTGCAAAGCAGAAAAACAAGATCCAAAGGGCAATGCGAGCGTTGGAAAGAAGAAGGAAAACCGAGTAGGTTCTGGCCCAACTCCGCGTCTTAGAAGATTAGTTGGCGGACGTCCTTGACAGCGAGGAAAAGTACTGGAAGCAAAGATCTCGAGCTGACTGGCTTAGGTCTGGGGATAAGAACTCGGGGTTCTTCCATAGGAAAGCGTCAGCTCGACGACGAAGGAACATGATAAAAAAGATTCGTAATGAAGCGGGACACTAGTTTAGGGGACAGGAGGAGGTATCTGATTGTATGGTTGATTATTATCAATCCATTTTTACTGCTGGTCCTGCACCTATGTCCTGGCCGGTTCTGGATTCAATCCAGAGGAAGATCGAGGATACAATGATGCACTTCTCAGACCCTTCGTGAAAGAGGAAGTGTGGGAGGCGCTGAAACGGATGGGGAGGCAGAAGGCGTCGGGGGCAGACGACCTCTCTGTTTTTATCTTCCGCAAATACTAGAACATTGTTGGAGACAAGGTAACATAAGCGGTGCTCCATATTCTTAACACAGGAGTTATGCCTGCAGGTCTTAACCATACCTTTATTGCTCTGATTCCAAAAATAAAGCAGCCGGTAACCCCAAAAGATTACAGACCAATAAGCCTCTGCAATGTAATGTATAAGATCGTCTCACAGATTCTTGCCAACCGACTCAAGCCTCTGTTGGACAAGATAATCTCACCTTCTCAAAGTGCTTTCATCCCGTGTCGTTTCATTACGGATAATATTATGGCTGCCTTTGAATGTTTTCATACCATGAAGGAGAGCAAACGCTAGAAACATGGTTACTTTGCGGCAAAAATCGACATGGACAAGGCATATGATCGGGTTAGGGGTGGGCATTAGGTCGGTTCGATTTCGACCGAACCGAAATTATGAATACCGGGTCCCCGAATTCTCCCAAACCTCAAACCGAATTCGAACCGAATTATAATTTGGTTCGGTCGGTTTAAATCGAACTATAATTCGGTTCGGTTCGGTTTTTCACACAAAACCGAATTTGTGAAGCTACTTGTATTTTCTCACTTTTAAATTATTTTTCACCCCTAATATAAACAATAAATATCAATTATATGCATCATCGATGATAAAACCAAACTTTTCAATGCATAAGTCATAAAACATTTCAAATATTTAAGTCTAAAAACAACTACAAACATAAAAATCCACCATTTGGAGCTTGCAATTATAGTATTTCGGTTTTTCGGTTGGAAATTCGAAAATTCGGTTCGGTTGAAAGAATTCTGATTTCTGAACTATCCATATTTTCCTTCCGAATTCCGAACCGAATAGCATTAATTCGGTTTTGGTTTGGTTTAATTTGGTTTTGGTTCGGTTCGGGTTTACCGAACGTTTGCCCACCCCTAGATCGGGTGGAGTGGCATTTCCTGGAGGGTGTTATGAGGAGGTTGGGGTTTGAAGAGAGGTGGATCCGATTGGTTATGATGGGAGTGACTATTGTATCCTACTCTATCCTGGTGAATGGCCATCAGTCCCAAACATCCATCCCGGGCAGAGGGATTCGGTAGGGTGACCCGCTTTCACCGTATCTCTTTCTGCTTTGTGCGGAGGGATTGTCAACCTATACAGCCAAGGCGGTGGAGGAGAATAGGCTGCATGGGTTGCAGGTGAATCGGGGCGCCCCGGTGATTACCCACTTGTTTTTTGCTGACGACAGTATCTTTTTTGGCAGGGCAAATCAGCAGGAGTGTTTGGTGCTTAAGGAAATTCTCCATGCATATGAACTGGAATCTGGTCAAATGGTGAATTTCCAGAAGTACGAGGTGTCATTCTCAGCAAATGTAAATCCCCATAATCGGCTGGTCACGAGTGGAACGCTAGGAATGAAGGCTGTAGATAAGCACCAGAAGTACCTTGGTCTAGTCACGGAGGTGGGACGAGTGAAGAAAGATTTGTTTGCAAGCTTGAAGGAGCGTGTACGCACGAAGCTGAAAGGGTGGAAAGAGAGAACAATGTCAGTAGTTGCTCGTGAATTACTGATAAAGTCGGTTGTCCAAGCACAACTTACCTATGCGATGTCGGTCTTCAAAATCCCGGAGGGCCTCATCGATGAGATACATAACATGCATCACTAACTTTTGATGGGGTAAAAAAGGAAGAGAAAAAAGCTCATTGGTTACGTCGAGAAGAGCTTGTTACCCTTAAAGAAGATGGCGGACTTGGGTTCAGAGATCTCCGGGGTTTCAACACGGCGCTCCTCGCCAAGCAAATGTGGTCCCTTCATCTTCTCCCCGAGTCGTTGATTTATAGATTACTTGCGGCGAAATATCACAAAAGTTGTTCAATTTTGGATGCTAGGCTTGGCAGTAAGCCCAGCTATATGTGGAGGAGCCTTCTTAGTGCGCAGAACTTCTTGTGCTCTGGATTGCGGTGGAGAGTAGGGAATGGAGCACAGGTGAAAATCTGGGGTGATCACTGGCTTCCCGGGGAGCCAGCTTTTGTCGAATCGGCCCCAACAACACTTTCGGTGGATGCTACAGTACGTGAACTAGTTGATCAAGAGAGTGGGAGCTGGAACGTGGACTTAGTCCATGTGTGTTTCCCTCCTACCATTGCTGGGACCATCCTATCGCTACCACTTCGAGGGGCTGAGGAGCAAGACCGCCTCATCTGGAGGCATAGTGAGAACAGACAGTACACGGTCAAAAGTGGGTACAGGAAGTGGCTCTCAAGCTTTATGACAGAGGAAGGGATTCGCCCATGTGGTAACGAGAAGCTATGGAAGGCAATTTGGACCATGAAGGTACCTCCATAAGTTAAACATTTTTGTGGCGTTTCGCCCGGGAGACGCTGCCTACTGGGGAGAAAGCGGCAGCAAAAAACCCAAAATGGTCCGACGAGTGCCCCTTTTGTGACCAAGTTGAAACCCAACGCCATTTTTTCTTTGAGTGTAGCTGGAGCTGCCGCATATGGTGAGGTTCACCATGGACGCGTCCTTTCCTGATCAATGGCGAACTGGATTGCTTGGAGTGGACTATGAAGGTTCTACAGCAGGAGAGCACGGAAACTGTTGAGCGATGGGCGATGATCATGTGGGCACTATGGAAAGAGAGGAATGCACAACTGTTCAACGGCGCAAAGTGGCCGGAGGATGAGATCGTTCAAAAAGCTATCTCCCTCCTCGAAGAATACCAGAAGAATCAAGGCCCGGACGAGACCATCGATGAGTTGTAGTCCGATGGAACATGGACGAAGCCGCCAGCAGGGTACATCAAAGTTAATACTGATGTCGGCTTTTTCGCTGATGGAGGCATTGGACTAGGGGTAGTATTCCGGGATCACCAAGGACACTTTCTTGCTGCAGCGGCAAAGAAGATGCGGGGTACGTACGAGGTGGAGATGGGGGAAGCTCTTGCTGCTGAGTTTGGTGCCCAGCTAGCACATCAACTCGGTTTTTAACTTCCCACTCTCGAGATGGATTGTCTTTCTCTAGCCGAGAAGCTTAGGCATCCGAATGATGATCATACTGAGGTGGGCATTCTTTGTCGTCGCATTGTGAGCCTGTTGCACGCTAATGGCTCGAGCTCGGATAACATTACCCATGTTAGATGTTCAGCAAACAATGCGGCTCACATCTTGGCTCATAGAGAGACCCACTGGGATAGCAGAGAAGTGTGGATCAATAGACCACCGATATTCCTTGTTGACCAGATTTGTCTGGATAATGTAACCGATCGCTCCTAATCAATAAATCTCACAGGTTACCCGTAAAAAAAAAAAGAATGCTTCGAGGCCGATGCTTGTGGAGCAAGGGCAAGTGTAGTGTCTTTAGAGAAGGTAGAGATGGTAAAGTGAACATAATGAGAAGGCCATTTGGTACCAAGAACAGGTCAAGGTAGTCATTGTGGAAGTGGAACTACATTGCTTAGAACATAGTTTTTTGGGTTGTTTGTTCCTTCTGCAATTGGAGAATGGAGACCCGTCCAATGGGATTGCTTAAGTGGTATATTTAGGTTTTTAAGAGATGAAATCACCACTACACCTACAATAAGCCCATACAGAGAACCCCCATAACCACAGCCGATTTGAAACTATATGGGCACAGCCGGTGTCGGTGGAATCACCACCACAAATCCGACCACTAACACAACACAAGATCGAGAGAGAAACTCAATCCACATGAATGCCTAAATGTCGGATTGATAGATCAAACCAACGCAGATGAAGTTTTTCTCACTGGACCAAAACGTCTTCAGAAACTCTCGAAGAACACCATGCAAGAGACTGAACTTTAGAATGATAAGTGCCCAATGATGAAACACATTGATCGAGTCTTTGTCTTGTGATCTTCCAACTGCGTCAAAGCCGATTCACATGGGAAGGCTACTAGCATCTCCGAAACGTCGAAATCAGCTGGGGAAAACAAGTAAGTATACAAGAGAGAGGTGAGAAGTCGAGAAGACAAGCCAATCAATCAAAATTAGTCATCCTTTGCCACCACAAGCAAAAACACTCTATAACTGAAAAAACAAATAAGAGAGAGGAAAGGAAAGAGCTGGAGTTAAACTGTGTCGTTTAAGTGCTTAAGGTTTAATTGTTTTTCTTAGACTGTGTCATTTGGAGTTTTTATAGTCCGGTCCTTAATGTTTGTCTTGAGTCTGTAGAGGTCAGTCTGGCTAAACTAGCCGTTGGAGCTATTAGCATTGATAGGGTCAGTTGGTTAGCCATGGAGCTGATTCCCAGGGATCGAGTGGTTAGAGTTGTTTGTCAAAGCCGACTCTAAAGGCTTTAGTTGTATAAATCTCGATTCCCAGTCATGAATAAACTTGGCAGTTTGCCTCCAATTGCTTCTACATAGTGGTATTAGAGCAATCGCAGGCTGTAACCAAGAGTGAGTGAAGTGTGAGAAATAGATATTGATATGGGGTAAAGGGAAAACGAGAGCTTGGTGAGGTTGTTTTGTATTTCTGGTGACCGATCTGTAAGGAGCAGATTATGAGTGATCATAGCTTTGCCCAAGTGGGCATTCCCAAATTCGACGGTGACTATGATCACTGGAGT